CCTATCGTCTTGAGGTCTTTCATATTGCTGGTATGGATTTCGCCCACGTCCGTCTTTAGAGATCTTTCGTTTTGAGTTCTCTCATATTGCTGATATTAGTTTCGCCCACGTCCGCCTTTAGAGATCTCTCGTTTTGAGTTCTCTCATATTGCTGATATGGACGTCGCCCACGTCCGCATTTGGAAATCTCTCGTTTTAGGTTGCTATGTTAATTTGATATCTGGAGTAAAATTTAATTCGTTTACGTCTGAAACTTGTCCCGGTTGAAGCGAATTTCCGCTTTTTTGCCGAGGGACGGTCCAATCTGTGGATTGGTTGAAAAGAAAAAGTGCGCCATTTCTGGAATGGACAAGTTAAATATAACGCCCCAGACTGTAGCGGAAGTTTACATTAGCAAACCTGACTTCGAACTGAGTAGACCCCAGTAGGGTTTCCCAAACTGGGGTCCGCGGACCCCTGGGCGTCCGTGATGTCAGCATAGAGGGTACGCAATGATATGAAAGAGTCAGACGGACTTTAATGATTGATTTTAATCAAAAAGCCGTTTTTTTTTTGGTTGAGCTTTGCGGACAAATATCCATTTTTGTCAGAAAAGGTAATCTAATTTTATTGCTTTCTGCAACGACCTACATGTGTGAGACAGCATTTTCAGCTCTTACTAATATGATGACAAAATACAAGTCGAGACTTGCCATAGAGTTGGATCTACAAGTTTGCTTGTCACAAATTGCTGCGAGAATCGATATTTGTGCAGCGAAAAGCAACCTCATTCATCACATTAATGTCGTTTGTGTTGTAAAGTAAATGAACCATTATTCTTCCTCGTTGGTTAGGCACAAAAATTGATACGACATAGAATGGGGTCGGTCAAAACTAAGATTCACAAGTAGGGTTCCGCGGCCCAAAAATTTGGGAAACCCTGGAGTAGACAGTACGTTGAGTGAGGACAGGGGTGTGCAATATTTTCTTTTTGATGTGCCATATATGCGTCTATTGCTTAGCCTTGCAATAAAAAAGGTACGGAGTGAAACGGCGAACGATTTAACGCGGCGACAAGAGCAAAAATCATTACGCATTTTTACCCACGTGCACGCATTTTTAAACATAATTTGTCGGATTTAATGAATAAAAAACCTGAGTGCTGACAATGGCCACACTAAATGGTTTGGTGGACCGGGTTCTGACCAGCCTGATTCACACCCCTGGCTTAGGATATCATTCACAAACGACAGCGCGAAGACGAGAATATACCGTATCATCAGACGAACAACTATTCCGAAGTCTTTATTGGGTGGTCCCGAAGTATGCGAACCAAGATGGCGGACATCGGAACGTAACAGGTTAGGGTTAGACCATAATTTTTTCCCAATTTTCCTTATTTTAGTCCTATTATCAGTTCGAAGACTAGCCAAGAGCCTCCCGTAGTATTTATACCTACAATTATGGCCTAACCCTAACCTAGTACACATACTACATTCCGATATGCGCCATCTTGGTTTGCATACTTCGGGAGCCCCCTTTATTGATACAAAGCCGAAAAGGCCGAGAAAAGAATAAGAAGCCACGCTCGCATACACACCATTGAATGGCAACGTGCGCGCAAGGTTTTTAGATTAACTAGGAGGTATGTAAAGAATTATCACAAATTCTACCGGTGGATGGGGCGTTTTCAAGGGGCGTTTCATGGGGCTCAAGTCCGACATAGCGCATGGCATTTTTGGAAACATCAACGGGGGACCAGACTCGTCATGCAGGGAGGCTGGAATAGTGAAGATTCTCAGAATGTTATCAATTACATTTAGTGGTTCAAACTTTTTGTCAACCGGTTCCATCACAAAAGTGATATTTTCCAGCCTGTTCTGTTGCAAAAGTCATTATTTTTCTCAGTAATGCTAACCGGTTCGCTGATCTCACAAAATTCCGTGAGACGGTTCTACAGAACCGGTGAGAACCGGCTGAATTCTACCACTGATTACATCCCATAACGATTACCTTTGACCAACGACGAATAGGATAGGATAGGATTTACATATTTATCCCGGGGGAGAGGAAAGCCGATAAGACGGCTTATCCATATGGCGAATCACGGCCTCTCGTCCGGTTACCATTCCAAGTCGGGTATGGGATTAGTTTTTTACTGTATTGTTTGTTTTCGGAAGCATGGACTTGGTGGTGGAGGAAGCCGTAACCGACCAGCGGTTACGTGAACCACCCAACGACGGCGAGGAGTCCAGCAATCCTCTCGCACATAACCACCCCTGCATGGGATTCGAACCTGCGAACCCACGCAGAGTAATTAGAGGTGCGGTGGCGAGCGTATTCCTAACGCTTAGCCCGTTGAGCCACACCGCCACCGCAATATGCAATCTACATGTACAAAAGCAGCAAATTTAATATACTAGAGTCGCCGAAAAGATTTATTCAAGGCTTACTACAAAAAGTGCATAGATGAATGAATCCAAGAACTACGGAAACAATTAAACCACAAGCCCAGTGAACGCGAAATTTCCATATTTGTAACAGTTGGGAATCTGAAATTGAATGAAATATTCATACAATATTTTAACGGCAACCAAAATCGTTGACTGAGCGTTCATAACAGGCCAGGGGTCGGCAAACTACGGCCCGCGACGCTTCATTGAATTATAGTGGCAAAGTAGCTGTTTTGACGATTATATACTTTACGTATCAGAATTTATCGTGAGACACGAGTAGACTAAATTATATTATAATCTAACAAGTATAAAATTTAAAATTAATGAGCCTATAATTTAATCATAATGAGACAACTGGCAACAAAACGCAGAAAAGTTGATGCCAAGTGCAAAAGGGTTCAATGGCGCCGAAAATATTCAAATGAAATTTTTTGAGATGCAATGCAATAAGGAAATAAATCTATATACTTTTCGAGAGATGTATCACTGCTTGATTTTTTTTATAAAAAGAATCATCCGTTCGGTTTTCAACTTTCTAAAAATATATGCGGCCCGCCAATGACTTACAACCCCTAATGTTGGCCCGCGAGCGACAAAAGTTTGGCGACCCCTGATTTAGGCTCTCACACGCCAGAGTTTTTATCAGAATCTGATTTTTTCGAAAGCTTAAGCCGAATTCAAAAATTTTTTCAACTTCTATTCAAACGAAGCAGGTCACTTCTACCAAAGAAAAATGATTCACATCGTTTGTATTTTACCATACTTTTCTATGAAAACGCAAAATAAAACCCTTACGAAACTTCTAGAAAAGAAATTACTAATATAATAAACGTTACAAACTTACAAGCCTCCACGAGACCATAACACAGTAAATATTTTGGTATAAGCTGAACTCTTCGACGACCGCAGCCCCCCGAACCCCCCTTCGCCATTGAAGTCTATGCCTCTGAAACGATTAACTGTCCCCATTCCCGATAAGGACTGGTACGGGATTCGAGGCCGTGGTTCGCTATATGATTTTTTCTCTTCGGAATTTATCGTCAGGAACATGAATAACAATACAACATGGGGCCGTTGGACACGATTCAGGATGCTATTTGAAGTAGGGCATGGTTGACTTGAGACAAATAAATATAAGTTGAATATACCCAAATCCGATATGGCCTGCTAACCGGACAGGAAAAGGTGGGGTGTCATGTGATAAATCCGGCTATTCGGCAATCATTTCCAAGCTAACCAACAAAACATGAGACAGTAAAGCCTGATTTAAAATTATATTTGAAGTGTTTCAGGTCATCAATAGGTCATTCAAACTAACGCCAGGCCACGTTTACTTCAGCAAAATGACTCACGCGTTTGTATTTCACCATATTTTTCTATGAAAACGCAAAATTAAACTCTTATGAATGTTCTAGAAGAAGAAATCACTAACATATCAAACATTACAAACCACCGCGCGACCATTACACAGTGATAATTCCGGTGAATCCCCTGGTCACGAGATATCTCAAATTACACGTCTGCAAATATAATAAAGAAACAAAAAATAGTCATCGTCACGTGATCACGTGGTGCAATCAAAACAAAGATGGCGGCCTCCATATTTTGCTGAATCACTGACAAAGAACGTTCTAGAAAGAGTTATTTTGGATATATATTCGCGTGATTTCTGTTGGCCTGAGGCATAGTCTTGAAAATATTTGTTGACGAGACACTGCGTTGCGTTGTTTTGCCATATTGAAGTTAGATATTTTGATTTTAGAATATATATTTTTGCAGCTAACCAATTAAATGTTATTATTCAGTTATTGCAGCATTCTGGCATTGAATTGACATTGGATGTGACGGCGCCTGTGCCGAAATGTCAATACCATTTAATAACATTTATCCTGATTGGGATAAATTTTAATATTGGTATTGGCATTTCGGCACAGGCGCCGTCACATAACCTCTAATTGTTTTTATTCTTCACGAATTTCACTCATCCAAATTTTACAAATACAGAAATAGGCTTCAACCGTGAATTTTATTTTCTTGGTGTTTATGTACGGTGTTCATTAATTTATTCTAGTACTGTAGTATGATTGATGTTTTTCCATTTGTGTTGGTGAATAGGCACAAACGCTGGTTACAGTCAGATAGTGTTTGCTATAAACCTTTATCTTGGTTTTGCCCATTTTCCTGATCTTTCCGTCGTCATTGTTGTAGACAACTACAGAACTAGAGTACTTTGATACGTTTATTTAGATCTTATACATAAATCTGCAGGTACCAGGTTACGGAGTCAAGATAATAATGTTGAAGTGTAATAAGCAGTTTTCATACTGATGTAAGGTACCGGTAGTGCCGGTACCGGTAACTTTTGTTTTTATTTTGCTCCTACAAAATATATTACCGGTATCATGGTGGTGAAGAAATGAAATACTGAACTATTGATAAGTGGTTTGCAGAGCAAGGTACTTACACAATAATTCCTGAATTCTGTAATTAATACAGAGTAATTTCAGAGTTTACAAAAATCTGATTACAATATTATACCTACATCTACATGCATTCAAATCTTCTTTTCCTTTCAATATTCTGATATAGCTTTAGGATACAATACTTTACGATTAAGTACGAATTGAAAGCGTAATTCAGAATAGAATAATGTCTCTACAATATAAAGCATACCTTATCAAAGGGAATCCGAACAATGTGAAGGAAATTCGTCGTTTCACGATTGATACAGACGTCTCGTCAAGCTATGACTATTTGAAGAACAAGGTAAGAAAAACTTGGGATTAAATACATGAATTTGATAGTGGATAAAGCCGGCGCCTACCAGCATTTATGTAAACCACCCTACAGCGATGACAAATCCAGTAATGCTCTTGCAACTGACTGGTACTAGCATGGAATTTGACAAATTTATAAAAAATATATTCTACAAAACGAAAAATACTGGGAAGTGGGAACATCTTTCAGCTGGAGCGAAGTGAACAATTTGTTAAATAGCCCTGTGTAGCCTTGTCATTTATCTGTTAATTGGGTCATTATATTTTTTTTACCTTATTTGTAAAAAAGGCAGTTACAGCTTGCAATTCAGTACTCTTTCCATTTTTAGTTGATTGAATGTGGCCTAGCTTTGTGAAAACTTGTATTAAAACTATGGCACAGTTCTCCAATTCCAAGATGTTCCGAAATTTAGTTCTATAAAACAAACACATAGGCGTCAAATTGCGCCATGCTTGTATGCATAATAATATAAATGAATTGTAGCCGTCATGTGCCCAAATTTGCGTTTTTTGGCTGCACTCTTGAATGCTACAGTAAGACTTTTCATTTTTCGGTATACCAGATCAATTTTTTTCAATAAACTCAGTGGTTGCGAATTTAGATGACGCCGATATGGAGGCCCTGACTGTCTTGTAAAGGTGGGGTTTGCACTCACAGTTATATTTGATGTCTTTCAATTGGGGGGTTTTCTTGGAATCAGAGTACAGTATGTCTTCTGGTTACGACGGTCCCGACATACGCTGTTTCGAGGTTACGAACGCACTCCATAAAAATATAAAAGATAATACTAATTACTACAGAGCCTCTACCATCTACCTACTCGAACTTCTCCACCATCTTATTAATACTGTACTGTATTTGCTTTTATTCATTTGATATGGAATTGTTTTCTGTTTTTCTAATAAAGTACTTTTTTTGCATTATTTGTACATTTTATTTCAGTACCATACTTCACAATACAGTACGATATGTATAGAGTAATTATATATAATGTTTCGACTTACACTGAAATTCGGGTTACACCGCGTCTCAAGAACGGAACAACGTTGTAAGTCGAGGACTCCCTGTATTGTGTTGTACTGGTCTCGCATGCTTGTTTTGCGTAACCAAGGATAAAGTTCTTTTTCAATATGCCTGTTAACACTTTTTAATATGTTAACAGGTTTCTTCAGTGTTCCCTAACATCGGTGAGGCGTTCACTCTGCATTACAAAGATGCTGAAGAGGATTTCATTTCCTTCAGTTCTGATGAAGAATTGATGCAGGCTCTCGGTCAAATTAACGATGGATTGTTCCGTCTGTTCGTGAAGGTATGTAGCTGCTACAGGGGCGTAGCCAGGGGGGGTGTCGAAACCCCTCCTTTTGAAATGTAAAAAAAAAAAAGCATATCATACATAGCGATTTATCGTATCTTGAAATGCTTTTTACACCTTCAAGACTCGTAAAAACACACATTTTCTGGCGTTTGACCGGTCCTAGCTGTTTCAATCTAACTTGACAAACAGACATTGCAGAACCCCCCCTTTGAAATTTTCTGGCTACGCCCCTGAGTTCCTATATAAGATTATACTTTATACCGACATGATAATTAGTCAAGCGTGACTGGGCAGCATTGGTACTGTATAAATAGTGTAAGGTTATGTCCAGTAAATCTTCATATATAGGGTGTCTAGAAAGTCTTGAAATTTTTTAAAATTACAAAGGGAATTTATCGATACCATATATTGTTTTGGACCTCACGTGGTAATAAATGGAGTAAAAATACTTGAACAATTCCTGATTGAAAAACAACAAACCTGGTCAATATATATTGAGGACTGACTTCATGACAAAATTGAAATTGTAAAGGGACTTCATGGAAACTCTGTATATTCTTGCAAGGATGCTGATAGATATATCTTCTAATATGATTCTGTTTGATTCTGGCCCAATAAATAAATCAACCATGACTGGGCAGCATTTCAATTGCATTATTCTATTTTTTTAATCCAGGTATTCTAAATCTGCTTCAATTATTTTTTAAACTTTGTTTATCTCATTTTCAGGTGAAAAAAGATGGGAACAACGGCGAAAATGGTAATTACTTTTTAAAATTTCGCTCATGCCTAGACAGGGTTGTTTAAAACTGATTGAATATCGAAGTATTTGAATACTTTTTCAGCAAATTTCAGATTATTCCAAATGATCGCCACTTTTCGCTGCCAGCTACGTGATTCGTTTTCGAGGGAAATCTTCAAACAATTTTTTGCGCTTTCTCATGTATTGTAATGACGAATAAATAGAATCGGCACTTTGATTGTTTGTTATCTTCGATATTACAAAATTATATTTTCGAATGTTTCTGAAGATTTTTAAGTAAGAGCCTTACTTGTGGAGAAAACCCAAAAAATATTGAAATAAATTTTTAACAATAAATTCCTTTTTCAGCTACAGGAGAGGATTTCTGCAGAGGATGGAAGAAATTTGCGAAACAGTTCGGGCATGGCCATTACCCCCATGATCAAGGACGTTTTGGGTTCCCCCCACGTCCCCATGGACCTCATCATCCTCCACCCCCTCCTCATGGACCTCCTCCACATCAATGGCAGGGACAGTTTGGGTTCGCGCCCCCACCACACCCCCACCCATGGGGGTTTGGCCCTTGGGGTCAGCAAGCACCTGGCTGCCATGCACAGGTACGTTCTTTTGAGATAGGATTTCAAATTTTAACTGAGGGAGAGAAACGCTGACAAGATGATTTTTGATATGGCCAGCTATGCTCTTAATCATATTATGTCATCAATAGTTGGTTTCATCTTAACATGGATTTTAGAATAGACTTTTAAACAGTTACCACTTGTGTGTCGAAATAGTTGAGATTGACTCAGACTCGTCATCAATGATGAGCTAGAGACTTGCTAGACTTGAGACTCAGATGACTGTTGACCCGAGGTGGTGACCGTACATTTGAACCCATGCGTATATCCACGGGTTCAATCTATATGCGGGTGCTAAAACCCATGGGTTAGGGTTAGTATGGGTTTAACTATCCGTGAAACAAAAAAAATTCCATAGGTGCAATAGCATACAGGTGAAATTGTCATGGGTTCAAATGTACGTGGGTTCAAATGTAATGGAACCACCCGAGGTTTAGGGACGTCTGCAGTTCATAGCATTAAACCATTATTGTCTCTCATTTCAGGCCCAATCTCAAACCCCAGGAGCTGAAGCAAGCTCATCTTCCAGTCCTGATGGAAAAACACAGCACCAAGAACAATCACAGGGATCTGCTAGTGAAACAGGTAAGGTACATAGGATAATAGTATATAATTCAAGCAGGGGTCAAAGGTCGTTACGCTTGAATAGAGGGTTGGTTTTATCTGTATGTTTAGCCACAAAGAAGTGGAATCTGTTGATTCGGCCCTCTGTTAGTGCAACGTCTTCACTCAGAACTAGCAGCTACTATATCAGTAAAGGTCGACTCGGCATTTACAGTTTGTCAATGCAAACACCACCCCATGTATTACACCCTGGGGCAGCAATTCCCAACTGGGGGCCTGCAACGGGGGCCCTCAATGGGGCCACAGAGCAGTTGAAGGGGTGGGGGCACAATGCAAGGTGCAAAAGTGATTTCCACTTTTCCCCTTACAGGAAAACTCCCCGTTGTTCCTAGTTTCATCGCTTGATAAGGTCATTTCATAGAGTGTTTTTGCTTTGTAGAGCATGGATTGTTTGAACATAATCGGGCTTGGAATCTGTCAATCAAAATAACGCTATTAATACCACTGGTATGATAAACAAGGGGGCCATGAGTGCTAAATGCCGTTCGGAAGTGGGCCACAAGCCCTAAAAGGTTGGAAACCACTGTCCTGGGGCATCGGTTTTGAAGCTGAAATATTTAAACTGACATTTCAACCATCGTTTCCAGAAAAACACTTACGCGGTGGGGATTTTTTACATGCGATGCCGGCATAGTTAAATTAAAAGTTTTAACCACTAAGTCAAAATATATTTTTATCAAAACAGCACAAGCATACTTAAGCTCTGTCGGTGAAGCCGTCGCTGGATTTTTGAAACCACTTGGAATTGACGTAGACATTGATGTTGAACACCATGGAAAGAGAACAAAATGCGCCGAGAGTGAGATAAAAAAGAAACAAAAAGAGGACGAGGAAAAGATGAGGTGTGGAGACGAGCAGCCTGCGTCTTCGCAAGAGACTCCACCAAAGACGACTGAACGTAAGTGACCTTTGAACTCCCTGATCATTTTAAGTTTGGGGTTCATGGTCTCAATAGCTCTTGTTACTTGGGTCAGAGGTGTGCAACCCGTGGGCCAGATGCAGGCCCACAAGGAAAATTTGTGCGCCTCGCGAAGAAGTGCTAATTGGAATAGTGTGCCACCCACAGTACAAGCTTTTAATTTAGTTATCTGGTACTTGCGAGTAATTCCAATCCTTTGCTTCGCAAAGCGTATACCTGAGTCCAATTTAGGCCTATGACGTTAAAATGCCCTGACAGCTAACTTATACGAAGCAAACAACGCATGTCATAAGATCAATAACTAAAATTTTTGTGTACTCCCGAAGTATGTAAACCAAGATGGCGGACACCGGAACATAGTATGTGTACCTGGTTAGGGTTGGGCCATAATTTTATTCCAATTTTTATTATTTTAGTTCTAGTTCGAGTTCAGGAACTAGCCAAGTGACTGCCGTATTATTTGTACCGGAAATTATGGCTAACCCTAACATGGTACACATACTACGTTCTGGTGTCCGCCATCTTGGTTCACATACTTCAGGAGTACCAATTTTTGTGCATGCAACTACTAGAAAACTTATGTTAAATAAAAGTGCGACCCGTGGTTTCACCCAGTTATTTGTATTTGGCCCCTTCAGTATTTAAGGTTGCATGCCCCTGACTTGATTGATTGGAGATTTTCTCTTTTTTTTAAACAAATCGGATTCAGAGTTCTGAATGCCCTGACTTGATTGATTGGAGATTTTCTCTTTTTTTTAAACAAATCGGATTCAGAGTTCTGAATGCCTCGAAGTCGGAATCCGGACTCTCAATAGTGATGATGAGGTATTTCCATAGTGTGTGTGTACCAGGTTAGGCAGTGTATCAAGTCCTTGCTTCGAAGAAAAAATAACTGGCTTACTAATCTCATACCCGACATGGACTGGTGACCGGACAAGAGGCCGTAGTTCGCCATATGATTAAGCCGTCTTATCAACTTTCCTCTCCACCGGATTAAGTATGTAAATCCTATCCCATCCTTGATAGCAAGTCCCATCTAACCATGTTTTATTTCACACAGCCTCTGCACCGGAAAGTTCTACGACCCCACCAAATGAAGCTGATTGGACAGTTGTGCAAGATGAAGATGACTCAGAGATGCAGACAGGTAATCAGGTTTTTTTCAATCCTATGTTTAACACCGTCAGTAGGGCATGATTGTTTGACCAGGAATATTTTGTACACTAGCAAATATATATATATATATATATAGGCCCTATAGCATGGCTACTCAACTATCTTACCGAAGATCCGCATACAAAACTTCAAAAATATTTGGGTCCGGTCTTTCCAGAAATTATATTTTGGCATCTTTAAACACGCACTTCTTCGGCCAACTAATGAATTATTAGCTGATCAAGATTGTTAATTATGGCGTTATAGTTCTTTTTATATATATTTAAATCTTTAAAAGTGATTTTATAAAGAAAAATGCCAAAGTGGGGCTAATGATCCAAAATAAAGATTAGGCGCGGTCCGAATCGAATATCAGATGGTCTGCATTCGGACCGCAGTCCGCCAGTTGAGTAGCCCTGCCCTGTAGCAAGGAAAATTATCAAGCAGTACAAGGTTATTATATTGAGGTGCTGCTATTGTTTTAGTGAATTGAAGCCCAGCATTTGTTGGCACAGTTATAAACTAAACCGACAATATGGCCCATGAACATGTTTTCAAATACGATAGATAATGTTATTAATGCTTAATTATTCATTCGGTCAGAATAATTTCATTCTAAACAGTTGGGGTTATTGCTGCCAGGTCATACTTCATTGGTATTTTATTCAACCTTTTTTTTCATTTTAGCTTCTGAGAAACTTGAAACAATGCATGTTGACTCACCAAGTAATATCGGTATGTATTTACAGGATTTCACATATCTAACCTGGGGAGAAGAAAGGCCATTTGGCCAATGGTTTTCAGACTTTTTAAGCCGCACCCCCTTTTTAGAATTTGTCAAGTCTCGCACCCAACCTAAAAAAAAACTAATAACAATAAGCTTCAAATGCCAGATAGTAAGGTGAAAGTATGTTTTATTCAAAAGACACATTGAAAATTTGTGGATGGAACGTAAATATCCAATATAAAGAAATGTAAATATCCAAAATAAAGTAGGCAAGATCAAACCTAACAAATATTGTAATTTTTAATTGACTTCATGCCCCCTCAAAAAAATTGTCTATGTTTCCCTTGTGGGGCGCGCCCAATCGGTACCTTGTTTTGAGCAAACTTGCAACTCTTCTATCAGTACTCTTTCTACTTTAGGTTAGGGCTCAGGACCTTGCTTGGAGCAAACTTACAACTCTTCTATCAGTACTCTTTCCACGTTTAATTTTGGGCCTGGTACCTTGCTTTGAGCAAAATTGAAACTCTTTTATCGGTACTCCCGTGGTATATGGGCCATAATATAACTTCTGATCAGGGTTAGGCCATAATTTTATTCCGATTCTTCTCAAGCTTACTGGTTGAACTGAGAATATTTTGGTTGTATTATGACTTACGAGTCCAGAGAATGTCTGTGTTAGCCAAGTAAATATACCCCCTGCTCATAGGTTTCAGTGTCTTGCCACAACTTGCTGTAAAGTGGGCAAACAAAATTAGTCATCTCCATATTGGTACACATACTTCTGGAGCGCCCTTTTATCAGTAATTTTTACAATTTGAAGCTTGGGGCCTTTTTTGATCAAAATCTTATAGCAGTTCTTTTTTTTTTTAGATCCACGTCTGGCAGTCGCTCTGAAGCAGATGTTCGCAATGGGATTTTCAGATGAAGGCGGTTGGCTCTCTCGTTTATTGGAGGCGCACAACTACGATATCCCGCGGGCTCTTGATGCGATCCAACCTGGTGGCGGAGGCCATAGAGCTTAAAGACTTTGATTGACACTTTCTTGTGCTCAGTATGACTCATGGATAGATTGATCATAATGAGACAGCGGTTCCCTACATTTTTCTCCCTTTATCTAATTTAGCTTTCTTTATTGTTCCCTTATTTCGTATAAAAACTTTGCTTTTACGCTCCTCAGCTAAGATTTTAGGTGCAACTAGAACTCTGGTTTTTGCTCAGTTTAAATAGTTCATAATATGTCCTTACCAGAGCTAAGATGTGAAGCCTGACCCGACCTGAGTTTCTTGCCGGGTCGGGCCTGAAATGTCAATCATTACATTCGGGTCGGGCTTCCCTACCGCTGACTTTTTTTTCAAAAGAGGCGTTTTGGCTACGAGAGACTGTGGTCTGCAAAAAAACAGAAGTTGCCTCATCAACACGACACATACTATACTAAACTCTTGCAATGACAATTCAAACTCCTCGAATTCGAACTCCTAAATAAAATTTAAATTTCGGGTTTGCTTCGGGCCTGCAAATCCAGTCAATTAGTCATGATCGGGTCGGGTTCAATACCCACGGGCCTGGGTCGGGCCGGGCTGGTATTTTTGGGCTCGATCTTACCTCTAGTCCTGACATGTTACAATAGAGCATAAGTGGAAAATATTATGAAAACTACATCAAATAGTTATTCTGTATTTCATTTCCGAAAACGACACTTTCTTCCAAGGTATCTCTTCGAAGGGATTATGCATAAAAAACTATGCATAAGTAACTCCATCATTTTGTCATTAATTATCAATTTTTGATGTGGCATTACTTTGGGCCTGTTTAAATATAAAAAACACACAAAAAGTGTTGATATAAATATCTAAGAATATTGTCCTTATGATCTTTCCATTCATGAGGGTATACATGGCCACCAAGAATTGTACATATAACTGAATTATAATCCAGGAAACACCATAGTATTGTATGTTTGGTGAAACTATCTATCTTTAATTCTTATTATATATCATGAATGTTTATATGTGTGTTGTTTGTGATTGTTAAGTCAAAGAAAAATACCCATCTTCCCCTTTTTACTCTGTGTATACAGGGGTGGGCAAATTCCAACCCTTGGGTCGGATCAGTCCACCGAAGTGTTTTATGTAGCCTACTGAAAGTACGACTATGGTTTTTATGGATATAAATTATATTTGAAAATATTGACGTAAATAACATTATAATGACACCAATTGTTACATTGTGCTTTTTCTTATTATATAAACTTTAGTCTATTGCTGTTGCTAAATAAACTGTCTTTCATTCATAGTTTTTCATATCGAGTTTTGAGTCTCCGACACAGTAACCAAGTCTCTTATCTGTAACTGGCCCACTCGAAAAGTAATTGCCTACCCCTGGTATGAACCTTACTTCTAATGGGATTATTAAGAAAATTGGTTTTAATTCCACCTCAAACTCTGAAAATATCGTTATTTTGACTTTAAAAATTGAGATTGTTTGATGATTTTATCCAAAACTATGTCTCCATGGCTTCAGTTTTGTCTTGATCGATGCTCCCACTAGCTGTAATAATATGTGTAACTACTAGTTACTAACTAGCGTTCAAATTTAGTATAGTTTAAATGGTGTACAATGCATTGACATGCATCATAAAATAAAAACAAAATCCATGGTTGGTAAATTCGGTGTTAGTTGAATAGTTTCAAGTTAGCTTCAGTGCCCTTATTGGCTCCAATTCTCGGAATAGAATTTCGCCTAAATGCAAAGGATATGTGTTTTTTTTCTTGATTTTTGGGTTACATGTTTGCCTGGTGATTTTAGTGTTTCCAATAACATTGCCATCGAGTCTCTGTGGCTTCTTGCCTAGAACCTTTCTCAGAAAAAACCCACATTGTTTCTCAATATCCACATTGACTTGGGTGTGTTTGTGCAAAAGGTAACTGGACTATTTTATCTTTCACTCAATGAAATCTGTTAGTTATAATTGAGGTTATGTTCCCAATTGTTTTTATTAGAAAAGTACAATTTCTTTTTTTTGGGGCATTTTTTTTTAATGATTTCTGTCACAGCTGTCTGCTTTCAGCTTCATTGCACTTACAAAATTTTTATTTCTCTTTACAATATTTGAGTTCCGAGATTTGTCTGAGTATCGTTAAGTTATGCTTCATTTTTATTTCTCGCTGTCCTTTGTTCCAGGGCTGTGAAGTCGGGTAAAATTTACCCACTCTGGTTGAAAATATTTGAGACTGTGGCTCTCCGGGTTGAAAAAAAAATTACGACTGCGACTCTTGAGGAAATCAAATTCAGTAACAAAGTCTTTGACATAAGCAAGCAAGCAATTAGGAATACTTGATAAAGTCAATTTTCGAGAAAGGAGACAAGTTTCGTACCTAACGTGCTTCTAGTGGACGTAGTATAACAATTTTTTGATATGTCAACCCCCATCTGACTATGTCATCCAAAAATTACGTCACCACAATCACGTCATAGAGCTTGCCAAACTTTGTCTTCTACTCTGTGTTTGAATTAAATTGGGCTCTGACTTTAATTTAAAAAAATTTTGACAGCAACTCTCGAGAAAATAAAATTCTAAAAACTTTCACATCGCAAATCTTCTTTGTCTAACTTATTGGGAATTTGCCTTTCTGTGCGAAATAACCAAAATTTAAATTTTTGATTCAGGGTTGGGGGGAGGTGTATGGGGTTGAAAACATGACTCCGACTACACAGTCCTGCTTTGTTGTGTCTATCTCTTCAGCATCTGTCACCATTATTGGGTTAGGGGAAGGGGGCATTTGGGTGTTACCAGTCAGTTCGTCCAATTATTCTGTATTTTGCCAGTAAATTTTAATGATTGTATTTCATGAAATAGGTTCAGACCTCTTAGCACCTTAGTTTTCTTTTACTTCTCAGTGAGTGTCTATAAATGCTTACCGTTACCCCTCTGTAATTGCAAGTAACATTGCCCAGAGATGAGGTTTTCTTTACTTTAGGGCAAATTGCTCGCCTCTCAACGGTTGCCTATAACTTTGCTCAGAGAAGTGTTTTCTTCATATAAATACTTAAAGCCCATAAATAATGCCTCCTCCCCCTTTTCTAGACTGGTGTCTTCTTTGCTCCTGTTTTAGTCTTTGTTTCTATTTTCTTGAAAATAAAATGGAATGTACAGAAAATGATCTGTTTTTTACATTCAGAGGGGGGGAATTATTTTGCCCAAAAATGTGCGAAGTAGCGTCCTAATTCGTCTCTGCTTCAGGACAATAGGTATGGAAAATGTTACCTTACACCTAAATACTCGTAATCGCATAAATCCTTACTTGGGTACCTAATACCTGCAGTGGTACGGTGTGCACTGATACATTTTGTTGCTATTTTAGGGTGAAGTTTATCAATCTCTTCTAGTATAAAAAACCCTAGTGTTCCTAAAAAAGTTGGTCGTACGTGTCACGGTCAGTTTCTGAATTAGGCAGAGTTTCAATCCCTTGCAATTGGCAAGCCGTTGTTTGTCATAACTCAAGGACCCCCTCCCCCCCCCCCCAAGAAAAGTTAGACTTGACCTATGGGCATCGCATGTCGCACACACCCTCTCCATATCTGAAGCTTACCCAAGGTGAAATTGAAGTGTGTAACAAAAGGTACTCATGAAGTATATGTACCAGGTTAGGATTCGGCCATAATTTTGGGTACAAATACTACGGGAGTCACTCGGACAGTCCCCGAACTATGAATAGAACTAGAATAAGGAAAATCGGAATATAATTATGGCCTAACCTGGTACATATACTATGGGAGTACCCAAACAAAATGCCAAAGAGGGAAGATCCTGGTCCTTACAGAAACAACAGTAGTCGCAAAATACCTTAGGATACCAGTGGCTGCCCGTGCAGAGCACCGTATTGTTTGAACAGAGAGGCGCAAAAAATCATTTTTCTGATACAAAACTTCAAATTCTGACTCATGGCAAAGATTGTATCCAGTCGTTAAAAAAGCCACATGAATTATCTAGTCTAACTAGTATATATTTCTACAAATTGGTTTCAAAATTTGAAAGACAACTTTAAAATTCATGCATAATAAGCTGTATAATATCACCTCAACAGCTGAGGGATCCAGAAAAATAATTGTTAAATGATTTGAACTTGCATAACAAATAGGGTATAAAAGAATATTATTTTCTGCATAGAAATTAGCGAAATATTACATAAACAATAGGCAAAAAATAGCTATAAGTTGTAAAACCAAATACATTAATTTTAATATATATATATATATATAATTATTAAAAATACTCTTAAATGAAATACTGCAGAAATTCACTTGGTCACTCTTTGTGGCCATTCACTACCATAGACAGTATACATCGCTATGCTAGTTACTAACTTGTGTTACTGAATTGTGACAGAAAACACAGAAAAACTACGCTAATAATGTAAAATTCCATTTCCAATTTAGGCCAATCCAAGGCTGTTTCGGCATTTGCAGAGATTTGTGCGTTCTTCTTTGGCATATTGTCCTGGACATTGAAGGAAATTTCATATTAAAACAAGGTAATGTTATGTAACTTATGTATTTCTTAATAATTTGTATAAAACTCAAAGACACATTTTGGCCCAGATAAAAAATCTACCTAATTTAAATCATACACAGTCATTAGTAGTGGTATAAATCTCTAAAACCTGAGAAGCAAGGCAAGTCTAGTTGTGTCAGACTTTATTAATCCGTTTCAATTGAATCTGAGTCAACGAAAAATTTCGCCGACGTTTCCCAAATTCTTATCTAGACTAAATCTGATTAGAGGTAAGATCATGCCCAAAAATTACGGCCCGACCCAGTCCCATGTGTATTAATCTCGACCCGAGCCCGAAGCAAACCCGAAATTTTCATATTTAATTTAGGAATTCTTTAAATTGTCATTGCAAGAGTTTAGTACAGTATGTGTCAAGTTGATGAGGCAACTTCTTCTGCTTTTTTGCAGACCACAGTCTCTCGTGTCCAAAATGCATCATTTAAAAAAAAAAAGCGAAAGAGAAACCCGAACCGAACGTAATGATTAGGGATGGGCAAAATAGAATACCGAATCCGGACGATCCGATAACCGGATTCGATTTCCACCTCTTCGGCGCCACGCGTCAATTTTTGCCTCTCGGATTTCTAATTTATTAATCAGTGACTGGCGTTTTCTCTCGCGAAATCCCACTCGTATGATTATCCTATGTTTTCTCGCGAAGAACCCGCAAAAGCGCAAATATCAAACGCCATAATCCCAGCTTGCATATTCAGAACGCGAAGACGCAGTAACGCATCATATTTGCGTTTTACAATTTTACTATCTATTTCGCTTATATTACTGGCGATTACCCAATTGCAACAATCTTAAATTAAATGACTTCATGCGCCCTTCGAGTTCGCTCAGAAAATGAAATGTATCCGACGTTCCATGTTAAAAGATGTGTTGCGATTGATTTAGATTAAACTTTATTTTTTATTACATCCCGTTTTCGAAAATACTAATTTAAATGCAAAACAAGGCAATTGTTACATTTATTTTGCACTCCCGTTGAAATACATGTTTTTCGGAATTCAAAACGCCGATGAAAACGTTCCTATCGTCCAAGTTCGACACATATTTGGCGGTATTATAGTCGACGATAAATTACAAAGTTGCCACACGTGGTGAAGACACTTCTCCTATCCGACAGTAACTATTGACGGACATTATGTAAAGCGTATCGCTAAGTCTGCGTAGATATATAAAAATATGCAATAGAAATGAATTTGTCAACATATGTTATTTTATTATGCCTTGCTCTCAGAAAATAAACAAGCTGACATACTTGATTATAATTGATAGTGGTTAAATTTATTTTACACCATCGATTAATACGCCCTGCCGAGTGCAACACCCTTTGGGGCCATATAAATTACAGTTACCTCGGTCTTGCTTGTGTTATTTCGGGGCTTTGACGTTCATAATAATATAATATTTTTACATACTTATCATTTGTATTTCACAATTCAGTATTAATGCGCTATCTATTTTAACATATAAGTACTTGGCATCACATAAATTTTGAACAATTCAAGGAAAAAAGTAACTTGTTAATATTTAAATTCCATTGTCCTGTTTGGTAACAAATAATATCCATTCAATTTTGCCTTTTAAAATTGTAACCGGTCAATATAGTGGGAGAATTCCGATATTTAAATAACAATGAAAATAGAATAGGATTCGGTATTCTGGATTCAAATCAAGTATTCTAGAATAGCAAATTGATTGACATTTCAGGCCCGACCCGGCCCAAATTTCGGGCCGGGCTCGGGCTTCAGATCTTAGCCCCAAATCTGATACCAGATACATGAGAACTACATTTTGACCACGAAAACTTTGTCATTTCCATTTTTTCTTGGTTTTAGTTTAAACTTAAGCTTTAGACTCCAGCAATTTGAAAGAACGACTAAGCCCAGTAAAAACTTTGATACGGGCCCCCAATCCACAGAGTTAACGATGATCTGACTATTAGGTAGTATAAGAAGCACAATTATATCTAACAGAAAAAAAAACTGTATTTGACCTACATCCAATGCAAAAATCGAAACAAATGAATATATATACCATAATTTCAGTAAAAAGACTTTTTTAGTATACTATTCTAAATTTCTAGATAAATATTCAAATGATTTGGGCATTAGAGTTATGGGGCATCAAATTTCTAATAGGGTTGGAAAATGTAGTCAAAAACTTTGTCATTTCATTCTATTTATTACCTTGTGCTTGTGCATAATCAATCAGCTTCAAGATTTCGACCATTTTAACTGTGCCTTTGAATTGCTCTGCAACCTCTTTGCATTCGATGAATTTGAGATCGCCTACCTCAGTTATTCCAAGCTCATCACACTTGGCAAGGAAGCGCTTCATTTTTGCGCCATCAAATCCCTTTCTGAATATTTTCTTTAATTCCACATGAAGACTGGAACTCCAAAGTTCAGGCAAATCTAAAAATAATGTACCATTGCCGTTTATACGCTTTGCAACATTGACTACAAACTTGATATAGTTGAAATCAGAGCTGTGAAGTCGCAATTTGGCATTTTTCACCCAGGGTCATTTTCAACTTACATTTATGTTGAATAAGGTCAAAATTTTATATGGAAACTCAAAAATCGTTTAGTTTAGAAAGTGTTTATTAAAGTCTTGGTGCTGGAAATCGGAACCAATGTTTTTTCATGAGTCATAATAAAGATTTAATTTTAAACTAGGGCTCGATTGTAAATGTTCTCGACTTCACTGGTTAAATTTGTCTTACTTGATCGATCAATGAACTAATTGACTCACCATCCTTCTCTATAAATTCTGAAGATCCCACTTTTGAAGTTTGATCAGCTGTTGATCCACTATAATGCGTAGGTAACGTAGCTTTGGTTTTTATGCTTCTACTGTCGTCCACTATCTTCGTTGTTATCCAGGGAAATGGATCTATGAAAAATTATTGTGTTTGCTAACAATGTCTTTCAAAATATGAATTAGTTTAAGAGACCAAAGACTAGCTGATATCAAACTGTTTTACTAGCTCATCTTAAAATCTTGACATGGGAATTATTGTTTTCTATCATAAAAATAATATTGAATTATTTCAAAATATCAGTACTAATAGGTGCAATATTAGTACACATTCATCCTAAGTGATCATGAAACAAAAACAATATGAACCTGTCCTGTCCTTACCATACAGAGCAGTTTGCACGAAGTCCTTCATCAAGAGTTCTGAACTCTCTGTGCCATTGCAAACAGATTTCACTCCCAAAACATAGGAATGGCCTGCTTCTAGACCATCGACGATGCAGAACCCATCGGGTGTGGATTTTTGGACCTTTTTTCCACTTTCAAGGTCATGTGCTGTAACAATGTATCCATCTGCTCCCTCGACAGTGTCATATGAGGCAAATATCTGGGTACTCGGTGATTTGGGCCCTTTCCTGATATTCAGACTTGTTGGTGGTTTGATAGTAGCTTGAAACGAATAAACACATGGTTTTGACATTTATTACTTGATCGGTAAGTGATAAATAGATTGAATACTTCGAGAAAAAAAACATAGAAAGGGGGGGGGGGGGGGGGTGAGGAATGATTTGTAAAAATTAACAACCCATAAAGACTGGAGAAAGTCTGAAAATGAAAATTCTGAACGGTGAACACTGTCATATTTTCAACTGGCTCAATAGTTAAATGAGAAAAAAACTATCACAATTGATTTTTAAACCAAGGCTCGGTCATGTGGCGCATCGTGCTAAGCGTTACGAATACGTTCACTACTGCACCTCTGATCACCCTGGGTGTGTTCGCAGGTTCAAATCCCAGCGGGGATAGTTATGTGCGAGAGAATTACTCGACTTCTCGCCGATGTAGGGTGGTTCACGTGAGGCTGGTCGTTTACGTCTCCCTCTACCATGTAACCATTTCCCCCGGCTAAATATGTAAATCCTCTCTTATCCTCTGTTCATCTGAATTAACTAACAATTACCAGGGGAGGCTTGAGTGACATGTACTCAACACTTAAGTTTGTGCTTCCGGTCAAGCCACTGAAATGACTCGGTTTGATCCTCAACTAGCTGCCATTGAGATATAGCTCAATCGATAACTTCACTCAAGACTCCCATGTGGAGGGGGTCTGCTACCGAACACTAATGATTGCACGAGCTCCGGGCCTCATGTGGTTTCACACCTAACATACTTCTAGTGGACGTAGCATAACAATTTTTTCATGTGTCAGTCCTAACCCCCACCAGACTACGCCATCAAAACATTACGTTACTATGATGTCACAGTGCCAAATATAGAGCCTTTCAAACTATGCGAACTGTCATCCAAGACACGACGAGCACCCGAAATCGAACAGCTATTTCTCTCGTTTTCTCGTCGCAACGATCCCAATATGAGAGAGATCGATGACGTGAGTCAGTTCTTTATCGCCGGCGCCAATGCCATTTCGGGCGATCATACGCATATTTGGCAAGCTCTATGACGTGATTGTGATGTCGCAGTGACGTAATTTTTGGATGGCGAAGTCAGATGGGGGTTAGGATTGACATATCATAAAACTTTTATGCTATGCCCACTAGAAAGAAGTACGTTAGGTACGAAACTACACGAGACCCCAAACCCCAATGGCCAAACTGTTTTATTCAGATTCTGAGTTTCTAACTCTGTATTGATGTTTACTTATAGAATAGTACATCTACATGCATCTGTTTTATCGAAATCTCGATTTGCCAATTAAAGAATTTGCTTTAGATTAATTGAGCTGTGTTGCCAATAGAAAACATCACTAATTTCCTTTTAAAAATGGTGTAAAAACTTACGGCGCAATTTTTTTGTTGGTGGTTCGTAGAATCGCTTATTTATCAATGCTTTCTTCACATACATATCTTTAAATGCTTTTTCTGCAATATCTTGACCACAGCTGAACAAGGATAAGTATGTGTTATTATGTTTATAAGATAAATGACAACTGTTCAAACTTTGCTTTATTATTATTTTTCCGTAAAGTTTGATAACTAGCTCACTCGTTTGATCAGAATATAAACATTTATGATTCAAGAATAATACAAATTTATACTTGGTAACCTGAGTGTTTATCATAATTCTGTACAAAAGACCCATGGATTACAACTCATAGTTGTGTTTGTAGCAATATGTTTATTTGTAACTCTTAGTTCAGTAGTAATATTTGTAGACATGGCATTGGGCAACTCGTTTGGTATTAGAATGGTAATGTCATATACTGAACTTACCGTTCCACTGAGTCTATTTTGACATATTTTAGTTGTTTGATGATCATGTCTTGATCAACTGAATATCCGGTTTTAATCCCCAAAACAGTCAGATGACTCTCAATATTTTCGAATTCTCTTTGCAAATCCGCAATCAACTTTTTGTCGACATACTCTTCGAATTCTTTCTCATGGTCATTTGGAATTGTCACCTCAAATATAGCACATTTAAGTGCAAAAAGTGATGCACTTAAATTGAGGCTATTTTTAAGGATCAGGTACGTTGCACCAATTGCTGCAACAGCTGCACCACCAGCAATACACCCCAGCATAAACATACGATCCGTAGTTGTTTTCAACTTAATTTCTCTGCATGTAATGATATCTTTAAGATTCACCTTTAGTGTACCATCATATTTAACCACAATATGTTTCGTTTCGGTTTTCACTTTAAATTGAAATGGCATGTTCTCTTCGAATATACTGTTACTGCAGAACGGTACTAGTTATCTGAAAACTGTCAATGATAAAATTTAAAAAAGGCCGCAATGGCATCTGTGCCTCTCTCTTACAAGTGAAGTTTTAAGTATTCTGTGGCATCTGCAGCTGCCGCAAAACCATGGCGGTATTTCCATACCATGGCCGCTACGACCAAACCTATGGCGACTGACTTTTTAGCTGCCACAAACCAATGTCGAGCTGCCGTTACCGCGCAGCAAATTAAAAACCAATGGCAGGTAAAATTGTGCTGTCGTAACCGCGGCAGGTGGGCCGTAAAGACAGAGTGTAAGTGGTGACTCCTCTACGGCCCATGGACCGGGGCCACGGCCCATCGAATTGGGCCTCGGCCCATCAGGCTATGGGCCGCGGCCCATCAAGTTGTGTAACGGGACTATTCACCTGGCTAACACAGACAGTCCCCGAACTAATAATAGAACTATAATGTGAAAAATCTGAACTAAATTTTGTCCTAACCCTAACCTGGTAGACATACTACAGGAGTATTCTTTTCTGTATCTTGGTATTTTGCTTTATTTTTATATAAAGGCTTATCGTAAAAAAAAAATTTGGCGGCATCCCGCGATTTTTTTTGGTTCGAATATTGACAATTTTGTGAAAATTGAGACTTTTGGAAAGATAATTGAATTTTTTTCTGATAAGGCCGCGGCCCATAGCTTGATTGGCCACAGTTCATGTGGCCCAATGAGATGGACGTGGCCCCGGCCCATGGGCCCTAGAGGAGTCACCACCCCTGTAGTAAAGACAGGGCTGTCCCTTATGGTGACAAATGTTGGGTAAGTTGGAATGTTTTTCTTATGGAAACAGTTTTGATGGATTTGGGGTTAGAGTTCAAGTATATATAATTCCACATGATCAATTAAAATCTGGTACATTAATTTGTGGATATACCGTTAATACTGATTACTGAATAGCGCTATAAAACCATGGCAAGAGCTGCCGCGGTTCGTTCGTGGCAGGAGCTGCCATGAAGTGGTAAGAACTGCGCCTCCTCTCTTATCGGTATCGCTACGACAAGAAAGCAAGAGAAAGTACTTGCTCGATTTCGGATGATTAGCTACATGACAATCCGTATACTTTGGAAAGCCCTATTGAGCCCACCAACTACTGAACTAAGAGTACTTGCGGCGCAGTCTTACTACTTAATGAATACAGCGCAAAAGAGCGCAAAACACCGCGAAAGAGCGCAAAACACCGCGGAAGAGCGCAAAACAGCGCGAAAGAGCGCAAGACAGAGGAAAACAGTGTGAAGCAGAAAAAAAATTTGCAATGAATTCGGGGAATCTTGTTTTGAGTTGGAGTACCACGACAGCAAATTAAAAACACAAACCAACGTATATAGCCAGTATTGCTGTAATGGCAAGTCTGCCCCTGCTGGTGACACATTTTGGGTACCATAATTTAAAACATTTTCCATATGAATATGGTTGGCTTTAGGGTTAGGGTTAGGTAAAAAGGGACCTCCAGAAGTATGTGCACCAAGATGGCGCACAACCTGAAAATAGTATGTGTTTGTGTGTAGCGGATTCAGGTTGTGCGACATAATGCTGCACATACTTCTGGAGCACCAAAAAGGTAGATAAAATTTTGCATGATGACCTATAATCCGGTACATAACCTTGTAAATATACCGGAAATAGCGCCATAAAACCATGGCGAGAGGCGCCGTGGTTCTTTCTTGGCAGGAGGTGGTAATAATTGCGTCTCCTGTTTCCCTCTGCTTTGCGCTGGTTTCCTTCTGTTTCGCGCTGTTTCGCGCCCTTTTGCGCTGTATTCAGTAAATAGTAAGACCCCTTGTCGCGTATACTTCAGGAGATCCAAATATTCTATTTCTAAAATTCAAAAACATTGAAGGCTAAAACTTGTTGTCTCCTATTCAGCAGTTTACCTAACCCCAATTTGAGTTTTTATACTGCAGCAGTACGACTTAACCGGAATACCGACAGGTGCTCCCCACTAATACAGTCTAGTAATACTGTAATATTTAGCTCAAAAGATCCCGTGTGCTGCAAAGACACACAAATAAGTTCGAAGTTCACGATGCAAACGAAGAGACTTTATTAAAATAGTGTAAAATCCACGCTTAAAGCAGATAAAATAGGAGGGACAAAATACGCTCCTCACCCAACGGCCGGCAACCAACTTTCCTAATGTTAAACAAGGTCATGGACGCCATATTTGTGAATTGCGAAACAATGGAGTCTTATGGGAAATTTTCGTCGTGTTGTTTTACCGAATCGAATAAGTCCGCTGTAATAAGGGCTAGAATGAAACTGAAAGGTGGATTTTGAACTTAAAGATATATGCCATCTAAATATATAACGCAATTAAGAATGAAAAACTATCTAATGCGTTAAATTTGACCACAAACACAGCGTGAAACAGTTTTTGGTCAAGATTTTATAGTGATACGCCAATTTGAGGCTGTAAAACGTCTCCGCAACAATCCTACAATGTCATTTGTTCTTCTAGCGCAGCTTCGAGCTGAGCAGTATGGCATTATGGAGCTTGACAGGCAAAAAATGTTAACCAGAAAATGGAAACGGCCATTGAAGCAAAGTTGGGTCGGCCAGCTATTTCGACAAATAAATACAATACATCTGTGACGTCATAAGGAACGCCATTGTCAAATGGTTAATTATGACGTTTAGAGTAGCCAATTTACTTCGAAAGCAACTCGGAACCGGTATAGAGGACTTGCACGGGTTACGTGACTTTGTTTACTGGACGGCAAAAAAACAAAAACGTCCAGTTGGCTCCTGTCAGTTGCAAGTCGGATTATACGTTTCCGTTTTGTTTGGCTGTTGAAAATGGTTATTTCGTATTGTTTCGTTGGCTGTACGTATAGTACAAGTACGAAATGGATCTTCAGTTATATTCCACTGTTTTCAAAAGATCCGGAACGTCGCGCAATGTGCATATCATCTATTGGCAGGACTGCTTGGTGTCAAGTCTCGAAGTCATCTCGCTATTGTTTCACTGTTTGCGGACAGCACTTCGTTGATGATGAATGAGAATGTGCCGTTATCAATTTCTTTAAATATTCATAAGCTCCCTCATTTCAATGCAAAGCAGATGACAAACTACTGTTATTGGTAGGCCTAGGCGTAGGACTACCTGCAGATTTGACTTGTGTAAGGAATTAATCATCAATTGCCATAAGGTATTGTTTCCCTAGTTAGAAGGTAATCTATTAGTAAGTGTCAAAAGTTGAATAGATAACTAAAGTTTAACGCCAGTGCTCATGCAAAAAATGACCAGAATTCGATTGAATTCGCGAGAGGGTTACAGCTCTCCTCCCACTGAGGGTGGTTCGCACGACCGCCGGCGACGTTCCGGATCTTTTGAAAAAAGTGGAATATAAATGAAAATCCATTTCGTTGTCTATACTATACGTACAGCCAACGGAACAATACGAAATAACCATTTTCAACAGCCAAACAAAACGGAAACGTATAATCCGACTTGCAACTGACAGGAGCCAAATGGACGTTTTTGTTTTTTTGCCGTCCAGTAAACAAAGTCACGTGACCCGTGCAAGTCCTCTTGTTTACTGGTCGGCAAAAAAATCGGATTATACGTTTCCGTTTTGCTTGGCTGTTGAAAATGGTTATTTCGTATTGTGCCGTTGGCTGTGCGTATATTATAGATAGACAACGGAATGAATCTTCAGTTATATTCCACTGTTTTCAAGAGACCCGGAACGTCGCGCAATGTGGATATCATCTAATATTGGCAGGACTGCTTGGTGTCAAGTCCAGAAGTCATCTCGCTTGTTTTCACTGTTTGCGGACAGCACTTCGTTGATGGTGAGTGATAATGTGCCGTTATCAATTTCTTTAAATATTCATAAGCTCCCTCATTTCAATGGAAAGCAGATGACAAACTACGGTACCGTTATTAATAGGCCTAGGCGTACTTGCAGACTTGACTTGTGTAAAGAATTGATCATCAATTGTCATAAGGTATTGTTTCCCTAGTTAGCAGGTACCGTAAAAGCGCCTAACTTCGGACAAAATTACTATATTTTCGTCAATAACTCGGCCATTTATTGTCCAAACGGTGCCAAAATTGCTCGGTAAAACATTCGTGCGGTAATTTACATTCCCTGCAAATTTCGGTTCAATTGGACTATTTTTACTATTGAAATAATCGATATTTCTTGCCATCTGACCGTTATCCTTCACTGCCCTAACTTCGGACAGTCATTTTCTTCACTGCGTAACCGCGACGCACAGAGAGAAAGAGGCTTCCGATGCGGAAGACGTAATCACGTCGTTGCGTGAAGATAAGACGCTCGATCGTCGTCGTAACGTAACATTGACGTCACGACGAAAATGCATTATTTGAAACTTCCGTCGTCCTATGTTTACATCTTCCGTTCGTTATTTTCGATACCTCAGATGAGTATAATAACACGTTAGTCATTTTAATCAGGAAATGCATACGTAAATATAGCTGATGCAAACCGTTTCAATCCACAATGAAGTATTTTAACGGGCTTCTATCGAAGTCTTTGAAGTATTAATATTCTCGACGGATAGCTTTTTTTTATTCTGCGCGGTTATCTTTATAAATGATAATTTATATCAAACACACGGTAAATCCGATTGTAAAGTTTAATTTAAAATTCAACCTAATCTTGTAAACATGTAGGTCCCGTTTATTTGTTGGAGATTAAATTTATTTTTAATTTCGAGTGAATAAAATTCACCCAGGCCGTATTCAATAACTCTCATTTCGACTACTAATCATAAAATAATGGTTAAGTCAGTGCACTGCGCCATATGGACGTTGGAATTATCATAGTTTTATATATTCGATTTTTAACGTCATCGATTAAGTGTGACATGTATTTTTATTAATGTAATTTTGGCATATATTCATACATGACCGAACAAAATACAAAAATATTACATTGGAACGCCGTCTTTATCTTAACGGAATTGTCATATTGGCTCCGTTGTGTCTGGCGTCAAAATTCATTTCCGCGACGCAGTGTGACGTCGTGTCGGAAGTGAGCGAAAAATAATCTACGTGAGGTTGACGTAATTTTTGACGCTGCGTGAAATCTTAATATTCTTACAAAATTTATAATTCAGAATTTTAGGTTTTATTTAAATCTCGTACGACATCTTGCGATCACTCAAATAAATTATATACATTGTTGTCGCCCTCTACCGAATGATGGTATTTTGACGATGATAGCTTCAGTAGGAGCGACGCTCTGAGCCGTTGAATGCCGGGCAGTCAATTTTCGGCAAAATTTCCGTTTTTTCACCAAAAAAATAATTATGCAACATTAAAAAAGATGAGAATAGATGTAGATATAACAGCGCAACCTATAATAATTAAAATTAGCAATATACGGCGCGTTTTAGCCAAGATATGGCCGTTCAAAAATTTTGTCCGAAGTTAGGAACTGTCCGAAGTTAGGCGCTTTTACGGTATTCTATTACTAAGTGTGAAAAGTTGAATAGATAACTAATGTTTAACGCCAGTGGTCATGCAAAAAATAACCAGAATTCAATTGAATTCGCCATCTAGGAATACGCTCGCCACCGCATCTCTGATCACCATGGTAGTTTCACAGATTCCAATCCCATGCGGGGATAAAATGTGCGAGACGAGAGGATTGCAGCTCTCCTCCCACTGAGGGTGGTTAACACGACCGCTGGTCGGTTACGACCATCCGCCACCATCGAGCTTCTGAAAACAAATAACTGGCTGACTAATCCCGACATAGAATGGTAATCGTACGAGAGACTGTGGTTCGCCATATGATTTAGTTGTTGCACCCCCCCCCCCCCCCCCCCCCCCCCCTTCCAGCGGTCTGGAGTAATAAACGAATTGAATAAATAGGTGTAACCATCTGTCCTATTTTTTCTGATTTTCCGGTATCATGGGCCAATGAACGCAGACTTCTGCATGACGTAACAATCAAATTAGTCAGCTGTAGGTGGATCCCCAGTGGTCGGATGAATATCAGATGTACTACTACTGCTCGCTTTTGCGCTGAGTAGCCTTTCCATAGTTTTTTTCAGTTATTATTAGTTCAGTTATTATATTAATGGCTGTTTCTGTAATGCACGGTTGTGTGAAAGAGAGGAGAATAGTTATCAAACAAATAAAAAGTGCAATCAGTTACAGACTCAACATTGAAAAAAATAGAAAATCACCAAATTTTGTCAGAGAATTTGAAATACTAAGGAATTGTATTTGAACTATAAATCAAGTGTGTATGAATTTAGTATGTTTAAAAATGAACATGTCTAATGAATTTAAAAAAAAAAAAAGCACTGCCGTTACCGCGGCAGATATGCCATGGTTTCAAGGCAGGTTCGGAAAATGGTTGCGGTATAAGGTATGACCATGTATGTTGCAGTATCTGGGTTTTTTGTACTATGGATGACTTGATGATGGCAGGTGAGTACAGATGTGCCTGATTAGATTTAGTCCTGGTAATTTCAGTTACAGATGTTAGGTTTGAAGTATGGATGGAACGAAATGATGTTATATTTCAAGGAGTTACTCCAGATGTAACAAAGGTGAAAGAAAAATCAAAAGGGGGTTGAAACACAGACTTAGTTTAGAAAGGCATAGGAATGGTAACAAATATGTTAATATATTAAATCTATTATGCCAATGTTTTTGATAGATGTAAGATAAGATTGTTTTAAATTAATTTATTATCAATAGTGTGAATTATTCATTTGCTAATTGTCATTTTTGTTTTTTATGTAACTATTGTTAATAACCTAAATATTTGATTATAATAATAATATGTATTTGAAAAAATTGGATGATACTAATGCTGAATGGAACATACAATAATAATGATGGGGATCATATTGGATGATGACGTGTAATGTGATGAATCTTACTGTATTCTTATATCAACACATATTAAAAAAATAAATAAAATAACAGTATGGGGCCGGGCATACCGTCCATTCCATTTGAATTTGATTTTAGAGACAAAACAAGACATATTGAGGTTAAATATGATGATAATACACTAGAAGTGAAGCATGAAGACTTCATTAAATGCAGAGAATGGAAATTGAAAACAAATTCGGATAGTAAATTTATGATGGGATGCATTACTGGTGGTGTAGCTGTTGCAGCGATTGGTGTAACATCCCTGATATTAAAAAAACCCATCAGTTTGAGAGCATTACCGTTCGCACATAAGTGTGCTATATATGAGGTGGTGATTCCAATTGACGGCGAAATAGAATTTGAGGATTTTGTCAACAGTGGAAAACTGACTTCAAAGTTGCAAAGAAAATTCGAAAAAATTGAGAGTCATCTGGAAACTATGGGAGTTACAGCTGGATATTCAGATTATCAAGACAAGATTATCAAACAACTAGGAGGAGTCAAAATAGTGTCAGTGGAAATGTAAGTTTAGTGAAATGAAAATACCCGTACTATTCTAATCCACCAACGGTTACGTGAAGCACCCTACGGCGACGAGGAGTCCAGCAATCCTCTCGAACATACTCATCCCCGCATTGGATTCGGACCTGCGAACTCACACAGAGTAATCAGAGGTGCGGTGGCGAGCGTATTCCTCACGCTTAGCATGATTAGCCACACCGCCGCGCCAATTATTCTCGAATATGTTTTTATTTCGATCAAGCAAACATTTATTAACATGCATTCAAATATTACTGAAATATAATAATACATCGAAGCTTCGACGCTTGTCATTTGTCTCAAAAAAATAATAATACATAGTTATCCTTGTTCAGTTGAGTCAAGAGATTGCAGAAAAAGCATTTGAAGATATGTATAAGTAAGAAGCATTCGACGAGCAACAAAGAAAAAAAATTTGCAGTAAGTTTTTACATCATTCTTAAAGAGATAAGGTAGAATTTTTCTATTGGTAGCATTGCTTGACGAATCGAAAGCAAATTGTTCAATTGACAAATCTAGCTCAAAATGATCAGAATCTAAATAAAACATTTCGGCCAGGACTTTTCATGCTTGTGTAATTGTCATTGTTGGTCAGGACAATCTCACATCTTTTTATCAATTATTAAGGTTGTTAGTTTCAAAGGTACCAGTATGTGTTTAATTGTTTTCAGCACCAAAAAACCTCATTATCAAGGAAGGGCCCAAATCACCGAGTACTCAGATATTTGCCTCGTATGATCCTGGCGAGGAAGCAGATGGGTACATTGTTACAGCACATGACCTCGGAACTGGGAAAGAAGTCATAAAATCAACAACCAATAGGTTTTGTGTCGTTGATGGCCTTGAAGCTGGCCATTCCTATTTGTTGGGGGTGAAATCTCTTCATGGCGGTCTAGAGAGTTTAGAACTCTTAGCAAAGGATCATGTGCGAACTGCAATGTATGGTAAGAACTGTTATGCTGTTTTTTTTTTCTTGGGCAATTCGGGTAGATATGTGCTGATATTGCACCATTTAGTGATGGTATCTCAATAACATTTTCTACTAAACAAGACCACATTTTTTATGTTCAACTAGTTGTTTTTTTGAGATAAGCTAGTGAAACAATTTGATATATCCTATGATGCATATTACCACATTCTGCTCTGAGCAAGGTGCTGTACGACCAACCACTTACATCTAGCAATATGTACTATTTTCAAAATAACTGGGTTGGCATAACCGTAGTTAGGGGGAAAGGAAAGGGAACTGTGCGGTGTGGCTCATCGTGCTAAGCGTTAGGAATACGCTCGCCATCGCACCTCTGATTACTCTGCGTGGATTCACAGGTCCGAATCCCATGACGGGATAGGTATGTGTGAGAGGATTGCTGGACTCTTCGTCGCCATAGGGTGGTTCACGTAACCGCTGGTCGGTTACGGCTTCCTCCACCATCAAGTCCATGCTTCCGAAAACAAATAACTAACTAATCCCATAATCGACATAGAATGGTAACCGGTTGAGAGGCCTTTGTTAGCCATATGGTTAAGCCGCCTTAGTGGCTTTCCTTTCCCACGGCATAAATATGTAAATCCTATCCTAACTCGAGATATTTTACCTGCAATGCCAGCTTAGATATTAGGAAACCATTGCTAACAAACCGAGTAATTTTCTCAGATCCATATCCTTGGAGGTACATAGATGATGATGAAAGCAAAGCTTTAATCGGTGATGGAACATCAGTTGCTCAATATTCAGAAGCTGGAATAAGGAAATTTACAGATGATAGTGGTGAGTCTGACCTGTTCATTGATAAAATGATAAATGGTAAATAAATTAAAAAAGTAATGATACAAATGTTGTATAGAACAGCGTTTCACAAACCTTTTATGCCTGCGCTTTTTATCCAGCCCCGTGGAACACCAAGAAATTAGAAGGTAAAATTAATAATAAAGAAATTCTGTATGATTTTACTTTGTGCTTTGTGCACAACCGGCTTATCACAACACCTTTTATGGCTTCCAGTTTTAAGCCAACGTTCCTTTGAGAAAGGTGTTCTCCGAAAAATTTAGCTTAAGGTAAAATAAAAAGTTATCTGTAATGTAAAGCAAATTTAACCATGGTTTTTGGGGAACATACACAATCTACCCATGGTTGAAACATTTCTGGCCCTGATTCTGGGTTAACTTTAGACTCCCGACTTACAGCACTCCTTTCCTTCCTTCTCCGTTTTAAAGTCTAAAACAGCATCTCAGAATATTGACACTGACATTTTTAGCTTTGCCCGAACTATGGAATTCTAGCCTTCATGTGGAATTATTGAAAATATTCGGGAAGAGATTTGATGATGCAAAAATGAAGAGCCTACTTTTCAAGTGTGATGAGCTTGGAATTTCTGAAGCCAGTGATCTCAAGTTCATAGAAAGCAAAGAGGTTGCGGAGGAATTCAAATGCACGTTGAAAATGGTCGAACTCTTGAAGCTGATTGATTATGCAAAAAGTAGAAAAATAGTGATGAAATAATGTTGATTTTTTGGCTATTTTTAATTTTTCAATTAGAAATGATGCCCTATAACTCCAATCCTTGTATATTTTTCAAGATATCATGAACAATGTACTCTATAAGTACCTTTTACTGAAAACATGGCACCTATTTAGGTATTTGCATTTATGCATTGGATGTTGCTCAAATATAATTTTTTTTATTTCAGATCAGTCATCTACACAGGAATCTACAGAAGAAAAAAGAGTCCCTGGCATTGTAATAAATGTGGTAATTGCCCTTATTATACTATATAATAGTCAGGTCATTGATAACACTGTGGACGTGGAGTGGGGTCCCAAATCAAAGTTTTTACTGGGCTTAGTTGTACTTTCGAGTTGCTTTGATCAAGTGTCAAAATTTTGGACTGTAAAGCTAAAGTTTCAACTTAAACCAAGAAAAATTGGAAATGACAAAGTTTTTGTGGTCAAAATATAGTTCTCATGTATCTGGCATCAGATTTAGTCTAACATGAGTTTGGGAAACAGGGGCGGAATTAGATTCAACCTTGTCCTAATATGGCAATTTTTCCATGCACAATATCTTCTCCTGCTCTAATTTATAATTGTTACATTTCCAGGAAAGTAATCACACAAAACCGACAGAAATCACTGCAAGTGGCTAAACAGACTCAGAAATGAAGATGGAATTTCACATTTCTAGAGTAGTTTAGTTTTTCTGTATTTTCTAGTGTAGCAATGTATACTCAGTATGGTAGTGAACGGTCACAAAGATTAACGAAGTGGATTTAAGCAGTGTTATAGTTAACTATTTTGAATTAATTACATTTAAAAAAAGATTTGGTTTTACAATTTACAGCACCTATTGTTTAAGAATGTTCAGCTAATTTTATGCAAAAATTATTAATTTTGGCTTTTGTACTTTATTTGTTTTACAAGTTCAATTCATTTATCAATCATTTTTCTGAATCCTTCGTCCGTTGAGTTGAAATCATGTACGGATAATTATGCATAAATTTTCACCTTTAGGCCTATCCTAAATTTTATATACATTTTTGCAGAAAATATATACTCTGGACTAGATAATTCATGTGGCTTATTCAACGAGTAATCTTGGGTGCGGTCAGAGTTCAAAGTCTTTGTCACATTTTTTTTAAATGATGCTTAGTGCTTTTCGGTACAAAACCATGTACAGCGGCCACTGATATCCAGAGATATTTAAGAAAGTACTTTTATTTTTGGAAGAACCATAATTTTCCCATTCGGTATTACATACCAAATTTATTTCACCTTGAGTAAGCTGGTAAGCATGAAATTCGAACGGGAAATATTTTAATCGCTGGACCCTTGTGCCTATTTAGGGTAGGATAGAGTATTCCTAACGCTTAGCACGATGACCCACACCGCCATGCTTACCCATTTAGGAGAAGTTTTAATCATATGGCGAACCACGGTCTCTGGTTTGGTGGCCAGTTCATATCGGGTATGAGATTAGTTAGCCAGTTATTTTTTTCCGAAAGCATGAAGTTGATGGTGGAGGAAGCGTAACCGACCAGCGGTTACGTGAACCACCCTACGGCAGCGAGGAGTCCAGTAATCCTCGCGCTCAACTTTCCCGGCATAGGATTATAATCTGCGATCCCACGCAGAGGTGCGGTAGCGCATATCTCTTAATGCTTATCAAGATGAGCCACACCGCTGCACTTTTACACTTAGGAGAGATCTCTTCAAGTTATGGCAAATGAGGGGTTATAGATGAAAAATGATCTTTTTTGCCGTGAACAAAGGGTCACAAACTTCGCTGTGAACCACCACACGACGGCGAGCAGTCCATCAATCCCCTCGCACATAATTATCTCTCACATGAATCGAACCCACGCAGGGTAATAATAAAGTTGATATGGCAATTGTAACGTACGATGCACCAACTGCACATTAGGATAGAACTTATATATTATCCTGGGGTGGAGATGAGACAGATTAATCATATTGTGAACCACGCTCTCTTATCCGGCTACCACATCATGTCGGGTATGAGATTAGTTTGCAAGTTAGGATAGGATAGGATAGGATTTACATATTTATCCCGGGGGAGAGGAAAGCCGATAAGACGGCTTATCCATATTTGTTTGTTTCAGATCATGGACTTGGCAGTGGAGAAAACCGTAACCGACTGGTGGCGTGGTGGTTACGTAAACCAGCAATCCTCTCGCACATAATTATCCCCCGTGGGATTCGAATTTGCGAACGGTTACTTTGTGCAATTTCACAATCGCCTTATCACACATCTTTTGAGGCTTCCAGTTTTAAGCCAACAATCCATTAAGAAGGTTAGAAATTAAGCATATGGTAAATTCAAGAAGTTTGCTGTAAACTTTTAGTTTCAAATGTAAGGCCAACGGTTAACGATATTGAAAGGTTGACGAAAATGCCATGCTTTTCAGGCTGGCACGAGGCCTGCCCACCTGTCTGTCGCCAGTTGGAAGACAAATTTATCACCCAGAGGCGTCGAAGTATGGTCGAATCTGTACTATTGTCTTTTTTAACATTGTTTTGTGACAATACATTTCTCCCTCTGTTTATTTCCGTAACAATGAAAATCAGCAACAGCAATAAACAATGACGTACCAATTTCTTCTGCCTCTCAGACACCGCTTTCACTCAGACAGATATTCCAGTGTGGGTGTAAACATTGTCATGTTTTTGTGGTTTAACTGGGTTTGTGTTTTTTTTTGTGTGTGCTGGTGAGCGGGAACACAGTAATACTCATGTTGTAAGCTTTTTTGAAGGCCTTTCTCTGCTTTTTTAAAATCCTCCATTTTATTAAGTGTATATTATGGTATTCTTAAGATAGGATAAGATTTACATATTTATCCTGGGTTAAAGAAAAGCCGATAAGGCTTAATCATATGGCGAACCACGGCCTCTCGTCCGGTGGTTATGGTGGGATTGGTTAGTTATTTGTTTTCGGAAGCATGGAGTTGATGGTGGAGGAAGCCATAACCGCTGGTCGATGAACCATCCTAAACAAATACCTAATTGTCAGTTTTCGGATGTGTTGTCAATAATTAGTTGTAAATTAATTACCTCAGTTGTAATTATGTCTTTCAAGGAGCCATAGTTTAGTTGCAATATTCAAAAATCTGTCCCAGAATAGCTGCTGTAGACTACCCCAAAAGTAGCTGTCAGTACCCGTAAGGAGCACGTGTTTGAATATTATTATAAAAAAGGGATGGTTTTATAAAACATATAAACCAGTTTACAAGCGCCCACTCTCCAAAACACTCAAAATAAGCGTTAAAAAGTCACAATACTAACAGCTTTTCAGGGTCGCGGAAATAGCATTCTGCGAGGTTATGAGTTATGACAGGGTTTGATCACATTGAGGTAGTTGGTTGAAGCATGTACTTGATGGTAGAGAAAGGCGTAACCGACCAGCGGTTACGTGAACCACCCCACGGCGGTGAGGAGTCCAACAATCCTCTCGTACATAACTATGAGGAGTTGACTTTGATGGCCGTCTGGTCGTATCACTCCCTCCTCTCTATACCAAACTAATTTATTATTTACCAAATATTATTTTCATTATTACGGTGACTGTTCTTTTATTTCGGTTGACGAAAAAATAAATCTCTCTCTATATATATATACCGTATATATCGCCGATATGGGTATATGCCAGGGGTGGGTGGGCACGCCGCGGCTCGCGAGCCGCATGCGGCTCTTCTCGCTGACATAAATTATTATCCAAATTTTACCTAAGAGAAAAACTTTAATGTAAACTTTTATATTAATAAAAAGTCGTAAAGAAGTTTTCGTCAATGATTAAGACAAATTATGTTTTAGTATGAAAATCGCTGTAGCGTTGAATTTTGAATTTAAGTCAGTCAAGTCAGCAAATCTTTCGTCACAATGGTCAATGTTTATTGATGCGTCGGCGGTATTGCAGCTTGATTGCGGTTAGTTAGTCTAAGTTACTGTGCGATATGTCCTCAATTAAAAAACGAAAGTACGAATATGAAAACAGAGTTGTCAAGTCAGAATGGGAAGAAGAATACGCATTCACCAGTGTTTATTTCTCTCGTTTTCTCGTCGCAACGATTTCAGAGAGACCGATAACGTCAGTCAGTTCTTTATCGTCGGCGCCAATGCCATTTCGGTCGATCGTGCGTATATTTGGCAAGCTCTATGACGTGATTGTGATGTCGTAGTGATTTAATTTTTGGATGGCGTAATCAGATGAGGGTTAGGATTGACATATCAAAAAATTGTACGAAACTACACGAGACCCAATAAACCTTTGTGCTTAATCTGCCATAAGCTACTAAGTGAGAATAAAGTCAGCAATGTTAAACGGCACCATGAAACGAATCACGAAAACTTCTTACGAGACTACCCTGGTAAATCAGCTATGAGGAAACACAAATTAAATGAGCTCAAATTGTGCATATATTTGAGCATAGCTGCCTTGTTTATCTATTTATTGTTATTAGACTCTTGTGTGAATTTCTTTTCTGTTCATGGTATTTTGATAATCATAATAAATTCACAAATTCTGCGGCTCTTTTAAAGTTCTGACTTGCAGCATGCGGCTCTTATACTGAAAAATTGTGCCCACCCCTGGTATATGCTGTGTACACCTGTTTCCGAATACATCTTTTGGTATTGCATAAACTCACAAATATAAAAAATAACAGTTAAAAACTGTCTGAAAGCCAGGAAGAATCGGAGAGATGCTGAGAGGCCGAGATTCGGACTCGGATTCGAGTCAAATTCACGCATTTTTTAGACTCGGATTGGATTCCAAGTCCACGTCATTTTCACCGAGCCTACAATCAATTCTGTTTTTATTAATTTACGCCTATGTTTGTACTTTTACCTCTATTTATCTCAGTACATACTCCAATTCAGGGTTGGGCAAACTGCGGCCCGCGGGCCAAATCCTTCCCGTTGGGTAATTCAATCTGACCCGCCTGATGCTGCCACAACCAAACTAAAACCAAATTTAGATGCTTTAGCTAAAATATAGCTCAAGAAATTTGTTGGTATCGTGATTAAATTTAGTTTTGGCACGAGGCTCATTGTTTTCCACCTTTTGCTTTTGTAACACTATAAATATTGTGCATGAAATGTAAGTTTTACGTCACATTTCCATGGCCCGCCAGTCTAGATGGGCTAAATTTTTGGCCCCTGATGGCGTATGCCTTATAACAATGATGTCGCCTTCAAAACTGTATATCCTTTTTGGTATATACGTGAACAATAAATAAGTGCAATATTTTTGAGTCTTCGATTCGCTTAAAAATGAAACATGCTCTGGATCAACCCATGTGGGAATTTAAATCGAGTTTATTACGTGCAATCTTTTCTCTAAAAAGGAAGCAATGGAAATTATGGAGAATTTTCACATGCACTACTAAAATGCAAGCAGATGTACCACATTGTATTGACGAGTGGCATCTACCATTTGCGAACGCGACATAGTGGGAAGTATATGTAGAAGCATTGTAGTCAAAATCTTTTTATTTTTCATATTGACATGTAAGAATTTTGAAATAGCCGCCTAGAATTAACAGCGGGTGGTGAGCTGGAAATGCAGTTCACAACCAAATTGCACATTGGCCTACGTTTAAGTTTGTATTATGGCCGCCAAAAAAGAAGAAAAATATATTTTTGAAATGATTCAACAGCTAGCTACCTGCGGAACCATTAGGCGAAAAATATGAGCCACGGCGTATGTTTGTGAGCGCACGTTGCAGTAGCATGGTCAAAAACGTGTTTTTCTGCTTACCGTTATGACGTCACCGACTTGGCAGAGCAGTACAGTCGGACACAAAATGGCGTCCTCGGAGCAGTACAGTGGGACACAAAATGGCGTCCGATGGCCGCAGAACGTTCGGTGACGTCATAGCAAACAAAAATTCACAGAGCTAACAGAAATAGTTGAAATAAATAAAAGTAATAGCCTTCTGGAGAAAATTTTTATCTGTAACCACTGAAAATTTCAGAGCAATTGGTCCAGTAATCAGAGAGAAAAGCGACTTTTTGGGTTCTCCACTAGGTGTCTAAAAACATGTCAAAGAACA